ACAAAATAACCTCTATGTACATATCCCTAAAAAATTTTCTTACTCCTCACATTAAATGTTTAATTAGGAGTAGTTTAGTCATAATAGGTATTTTTGTATAGAATTTAACATTTTCTTAATGGGCGTGCTAAAAGTAAATTGATCACTTATTGTGAACTGGAGGAAGCATTGTTACATAAAATAAGATAGATGAAGTATTAATTTCAGGACTTCATTGCAAACATAAAAAATAAGATGTTTGATCATATACCATGCATGATTTCAAAAGTAAAGATAATGAGGGTTGGATTGTGTGATCATCACACTTAAAAAATTTAGTTGATAGAGATATACCACTTCTAAATTACTTATTTATATTACTCTATATCTCAGTACGCTCCAAGATCACGTGTGTATGTGTGTTTCTTTTTCATAGGCAAACAAGCATTTTTTTTCTTTTTCCTTATGACGATAATATTAATGTGAACTCAAAACCTCTGCTTATTCCGAATTGTGCGACTATCTTTTAGACGACTTAAATTTTAGATGAAATGTTAAGTCAAACGTGCATGGAGACAACGTGAACGGCCATTGAAAATGATAAGATTAACGAACCATATATCTTGCCAAAAGTAATAGAATTCGAAGAGAATATTGATGTGATAAGAGACTTGATCAGGGGCGGATCCAGAGAAAAGGATACGGGTTCCCATGAACCCAGTAACTTTTGCATAAACTTTGTATTTGTATTAAAAATTTTATTAAAAATATAAAAATATTTAGCTTGGAACCTAGCTCGTTGATCCAACTATCATTTAGATTAACTTGAAATTGTTGTAGGAACCCATAAGCTTAAAATTTTGAATCCGTGTCTGGACTTGATGATGCTAGAATATGAAGGACGCAGAAGCTATCTTTTTGATAGGTTGACATAGATGCTTCACGACATTGTTACCAACACCAAACCCCCCTTCCCTCCCCGCCCCCAAAGCATGGCTTTCGTTGAGAGGATTGGATGCTTTCTCAATTGGGTAATCGAATTCACAAAACAAGTAAGGCTTGCTCGGTTGGTAAAACACCTTCACCCACAACTATTAGATTTTGAATTTGAATTACGCGAGAGGGAATTAAACTGTGGAAACACTACAGATCCTCCTAAATTGGGAGGAATTTTTAAAAAAATCATAATAATGGAATCCACATTTTCTTTTTCCGCGAATTGTTGGCCAGGTGGCCCCATTGTTGCTGACTTGCTTCGTTAAAGTAGCATACCCAAGAATTCTAGTCAGAAGATAAAGAAAAATTAAAGATTATCGTATCTAAAACTCGAACATCCTGCCTAAAGTAAGTTTATTTTAGTCATATTCATCACTAAGGGTGGCAAACGAGCGGGTCGAGTCAGATATATGCCGGGTCAAAATGGGTATTGAAAAAACAAAAAATTATTCGGCAGGATCCATATTTAATATGGATAAAAAACAAGTTAACTGGCGGATAATATGAGTAACCATATTATCCATGACTTCATGAATATGATCACTTTTGGGAGAATTTCTATTCTCCCAAACTTAAAGAACTCCCAATTTGAGATTTACAAATGTAAATGTTAAACACATTGGTTATCCATTTTATAAATGGATAATATGATTTTTATCCATACTTGACCTGTTTTTAAAAAGTTCATTATTCACCTCTTTTTTAGTGGGTAATATGAGTGGTTAGCTATTTCCTTTTAACCATTTTCCACCACTATTAATCACTGTATTGATGGTTCCCTTATGTCAAGAAAATCCAACTATTCATACGTATAAAAAAAAATATTTTTACACTATTTGTAGCGCAAAATTTTTTGTCCAAAAGGATTCGATTGATAACCATCCTTAGTACCTTCTCCCCTACCTCTTGTCAATTATATAGCTCCTCGTCCTTCAATAGTAGAAATTTGAGAACAAGAGTACTGTAGTTACAAAAATGGACGTAAAAAGATCGATCGTTGAATTAAAAGATTGTTTGAGAGAAAATGTTCTGGATGCTTGAAATCGAGGTGTACAAGATTATGAAAGAAACTGATTGCAATATGCTAATTGATATGGCTGGAATGGCAGCACAAAATATCATAAAAAACTTTATTTTCGGGGTTTGATCAGGACAAGAGGAGAACAACTTCAGGTGCTATATTATCAGTTTGAGTTATACGACGACAGCCTATATTCCCACGAAAGGAGTGATATGTATCAAATTATTTAAATTTAAATCTATACGTAAATGATAATACCTGCTGTCATAAATATAGTAATTGTTTTTGCAAAGTGTACTTATTATTTTAAAACATCTGACGTTTTAAGAAAAAAGGTTTTTCTCATATCCACTCTTATGTTTGAAATAGTGGAGTATTAATTAAGATAGAAGTTTAAGAAAAAACTAAAGATAATTTTGACAAATACTCACGTGACTAAAGCTATTAAATATCTTTTGTAAGGGCAATGCAAACTTTTTTAAAAACAGATAATAGATGGAGGAAAATAGTGTAGCTTCAACCTCAATCTTCCTTGCCTTGTTCTACATTGGTTGAAAATCATGATCTTTCTTATAGATGTTTTTTCTTTTTCAACTTATTTTTTCATTTTAGTATAGTAGTATGATGTTTGGCACTAGCATACAATTGATGATAAGCTAGGAACTCATGTTCTGAACTATATTTCACACTCTAATTACTGCACTTTGATTTTATTTGAGTACTTTATACTTATTACGTGTATTATGTTGTGTAAGATATTATTTCAAGTGAAAAAGCAAGTTTGAAGCTAAAATGGATGATCTGGAGCTTTGAAGTCTGAGTATACTACAAGAATATTGACTTTTAACGACAAAATTTTAATGAAGGGACATGAATCCGGTCGTTAAAAGTGTATGTATAACGACTAAACTTTTTTTCGGTTGTTAAAGCCTAATTTTTTGTTTATATTTATGAAGCGATGATTTCCGGTCATTAAAAATTAAAATAATTCGGACGTTAAAATATATTATAAGCAATAAGACAAATAATAAATAGGCGCCAGTTTTTTTACCCAATCCACAAGCAGCCCACAACCCTCAACTCTCGTGACCACCCCTCCTAAAATAAAACACTTTTCACTGTTTTATCAATTGAGAACAAGATAACTTCTCTTTGTTTTATCAATTGAGAACAAGACAAATTGCAGTTACAAGAATACACGCACATAGCTAGCTTTGAGCAGTCAAAGATCAGCAAAGAATCATAAGTTGATTTCTTCTCTACAACCTAGGGTTTTATTTTCCTTCTTGTCAAGGTAATCTGTAAACTTCTATTCAACCTATGTGTTTTCCTTATGTATGAATTAACTTTGTGTTTATCAAATATTGGATTTCTTCTTAGAATTACATATCTTTCAAATACTTAATTACATCCAAATTTGAAGAGTATTGCTGATAAAAGTTCTTTTTTGTTTGATTGATTTTTGCTCGCCTTTATTTTATATGTCAAATATGTGTGTTCATCTTGTAAAGACGATTATATATGTGGATTGAGTTTGATTTTGAAAGAAAGGAGATTCTTTTTAATAGCATAACAGATCAATCGATTTGGAGAACATATTATGTATAGTAAAAGGATATACTTATGCTCTTGCGAGTTTTTATTGGTTTAGTCACTCATTTGAACATACCCATATGGTTTTATTTGTTCCTTATTAGAAAGATTTCTCCTTTTCTGTTGTTTTCTTCTAACTTCCTTTTTTTGGGAGGGGTGGGGGGAAGGGAGGGGGTTGGTTTACCTTGTTTTCAAGTAATGGGGCATGACTGAACTATATGTGTTTCTTTTTTCAGAGGATGGAGTAAACAGAGTATATATATTGCATATATGAATAATATACTAGTCTTATTAAAGGAAACATATCATTGTATCAACAAGTAATGTCGCTCAGATGTCACTGCAGTGTATAATAATTTTGTATCTAAGCTTCATATAATAATCTAATGCATCTGACTTTTTTCCTTCATGTCTATCCTGACCTCTAGACTAAAAGTGGTTGGCCAAAATTTGCATTTTTCTAGTTCTAATATCACATAAGGTCGTCAAATTTTAGTGGAGAATTGCGTCTTCATTTTTAATAGAGGTATCTAATGCTTTGTAAAGTGGTTAATGGACCATATGCGATTCTAAATCTATTTCATTGGACGTGGAGCTTTCGTATAATGTCTGTACTTGCTCGAACTTACTTCTTTCTAAGATACATAATTCCCATATCCCATTGCTTGACTACTAAGTTAGACATCTATTAGTTTTTATGCTACTTGTCATGCTCCTCTGAATTTGTATACAATCTTTGTTCCCCTATTCCTTTTGGACCTTTCTACTTCTAGCCTTTCAGAATATGGATATGCTAAGAATATATCTTTCCTTAAACTCAAGAATCTGAACTAAATGTAGATGATGTAGAGACTTTTTCCTTTTTGAAAATTTTGAAGACAAGATTAGAAAAAGATGTATACTTAGAATTGTCTTGAATGCTACCTCACAAGTAACCTTAAGAAGATATATACCTTAAATTCACTTCCCAAGAACAAAGATAAGTAATTTGCAATGTGTTAAATCTACTTACACTTTTTAGGAATGAACACACAGCTCCATCACAATAGCAATACCCTAATCTGGTGAAAATCCTTATACACTTACACAACATGCATCAGAAACATGTCTACTTAAAGACAAGTTAAAAGATTGTACATAAATTTGTTACAAGAAGGGTCTAGAGGCTACAACTCATTTACTCAAAGTTATAATGCTTGTCCACTTATTCAGAAACATCCCAAGTGCAGCTCATTCCTTTGGGGAACTCAACCAAGTCGCCTGCGCCTATCTCAACGACCTCATCACACCCGTCAGGGTAAACCTTCACTTTTCCCTTCAGCAAGTAACATGTCTCTTTGGCAGAGTATGTCCATGGAAATTTTCTAGGAGGACAACCCCACCTAATAATGCCTATAATTTGGAACCGCATAGCGTTGAGAGTAAACAAATATGTAAAACAATAGTTAGATTAAGCACATATTTAAGATACTGGATGAAATGATGTGCTACTAGGAGACAATTCCAGGATCGAAGGAGCAACAGAAGATAGACCACCTCTTTAAACATGGTGCATCAGAGTGAATCAGCTAGTGAAGGTTAAATAAGGATCCCCATTTTAACATGGTGCAATCTGTTTCTAAGCATTGTAAAGTACCATCTACCTCCAAAAGTTTACCCCTTTTTATCCTAGGTGCAGAAACATGTTCTACACTACAGATGCATCTACCTCTATCTTGAAAGTGTTGAGCAATAAACAAAAGCATAATTTACTAAACAACCAAAATAATACTACCAAAAAATTTGAATAACATAATCTCTCCTGTTTTAACTGATTTCACTTTGCAATTATGAAAGCTAAGCATAACTAAACAAGAAAGTTCACTCACAAAATTTCTCCTTCACCCATCTCCCCCCTCCCCCCCACCTCCCAAAAAAAACAAGCAATATCCCTCTATCTCTCATTCTGAGTTGCATGGTAAGAAGAAATTCATTCTTGCACGAATGTATATACCCACTACAAAACTAGCTGAAAAAACTACTATACGGATTAAAAGTTTTGGCTGTCCGTTAAAATATGCAAGTGATATCTGTTCGTATACACATGAAAAAAAGTAGAATAAATTTTGTTTTCAACTTCAAAGCTATTCCCATGGAAAATAGATAATTGGGTAGTCAAAAAGAATTATGCCACCACATTCAACCTCGTTTCAAACCAGATAATATTTGAACTCAGTTCCCAAAGCTAAGGAACCTAAGCAGAAAAAAAGTTTCAACTTTCAAATCCATTTGAAAAATCACTTGTATTAAGATGCCAACCACAGAGATAACTCAAGACAAACGAAAATATATGTTAAACCCATACATGCCGTACATTGTAAACCTGATCTTCCCTTCTTTCTAAATCACTCTCCTAATAGTCTTTGAAAAGCCAATATGCAAGTAGACATAAGTCAAAATACCACTAAGATGAAAATTGATTTCAAGGATGAACTAGGTTCTACATTTAACCCATCCCCATTTTCCCAGATAAACCTATGTTACTAGTATTACGGTCAGATCAAACATAACACTATTTAAATGGAAAGGACAATATTAATTTAAATACTAACTGCATTGGTCATTAATAAGTAAGTGAAATCCTAGCTGAGCGAGTAAACTGAAAGGTAAAAGACATTATTTGCCTGCACAGGTACTCCAACTGGATGTTACTTTTGATAGAATAACTTGTTTACTTGGATATAGGCCAGTGGGAATGTTGGGTATGAGAAATATTTTAAATGGACTCTAAAAATATTCTTGAGAACTGGATTGACTAATATTCATAGGCAGAGGTGATTAATGTGTTTTTGTTTGCTTATGTTTGTTTCTTTCTGCATTTGCATTGCTATACTAATAAATTTTGGTTGTATATATGTGTGTGTGTATGTGTATATATATATATTAAACTGTTCTATGCACCGGATTATGACACCTGATAAGCAATGGATGGAACTTGTTCATGATCGATTAGATGATGCTTACATACTTGTGGTAGAGAAATTTTTGAATTATGCTTTTACAAGATTGGAAGAAACGCGTGAAATACGTTGTCCATGCATCAAATGTTATAATGCAATTTCAGGAACACGTGAGCTGGTTAGATCACATTTAATAGTACATGAGATAATCCCAAATTATACTTGTTGGTATCACCATAGGGAAAGGTTAGGTGAGGAGCAGTCAGATTCTGAATTTGTAGATGATAATGACATTGAATATGGTGATGGTGAGGATGAAATACATGACATTTTAAGAGATCTTTACCCCAATTTTGATAGAGATAATATGAACAATGATGGTGATGAGTTTCTCATGGAGGAACCAAATCCTGAAGCAAAAAGATTCTATAGGGTCTTAAAGGATTTTGAGCAACCCTTGTACCAAAGTTCAAAAATTTCTAAACTTTCTACTTTGGTTAAATTGCTTCATATTAAAACTGTTGGTAATTGGAGAACGAGTCATTTATAATGCTGTTGAAGATGTTGAAGGAAGATTTATTGCCCGACGGATCTAATTTGCCAGACTCATATTATGAGGCAAAAAAGGTTATTCGGGACCTTCGGCTTTCTTACAACAAGATTGATACATGTAAGAATGATTGTATGTTATATTGGAAGGATGATAAGTTTCTTGAATCTTGCAAAGTTTGTGGCGTATCTAGATGGAAGGAGGATAAACATAGTGGAGAAACCAAATTTAAAAGTGGGAAAAAGATACCAAACAAGATTTTACGTTATTTTCGTCTAAAGCCAAGACTTCAAAAATTGTTTATGTCCTCAAAGACATCTTCTTTAATGACATGGCATCATGACAAAAGAGTTGATGATGGAATAATGAGGTACCCAGCTGATTCAATAGCATGGAAAAATTTGATGAACTTCACCAATCTTTTGCAGCTGAGCCTCGTATTGTTCGACTTGGACTTGCTATTGATGGTTTTCAACCATTTAGAAATTCCAAAATTCCATATAGTATTTTGCCTGTGGTACTTATTTCTTATAATTTACCACCTTGGCTATGCATGGAGAAAGAGAATTTTATTTTGTCAATGTTTATTCCTGGTCCTGAGAGTCATGGAGATGCTATCGATGTTTATCTTCAACCTTTGATAGAGGAATTAAAAGAATTGTGGGAATCTGGAGTGGAGACCTTTGATGCATCAACTAGACAAAATTTTTTGTTACATGCATCTTTGTTATAGATCATTAATGACTTTCCAGCATATGCGAATTTATTTGGATGGAGTACAAAGGGTAAAATGGCTTGTCCATGTTGTAATAAAGAAATTGTTTCAATTAGGTTAGAAAATTGTAAAAAACAATGTTATATGGGCCATAGACGCTTTCTTCCTCTTAATCACAAATGGAGGAATGATAAAGAGTCATTTGATGGCACTAAGGAGCGAAGATTACCACCAAAAATGCTATCCGGTGATGATATACTTGATCAAGTGGCTAATTTAGATGGTTTACATTTAACAAAGGATCCAAAGAAGAAGGTTAAAATATCACATGATAGTAGGGGTGATAATTGGAATAAGAAGAGTATTTTCTTTGATCTTCCTTATTGGAGAACTCTATTGTTGCGGCATAATTTAGATGTGATGCATATTGAGAAGAACATATGTGATAATATTCTGGGGACAATCTTAAATGCTAAAGGGGAAAACCAAAGACACCATAAACACTCGGTTGGATTTGCAAGCAATAAATATAAGAAAAGAATTGCATCCAATAAAAAATGGGGATAAGTATGACTTACCAACAACATGTTTTACACTATCTCTTGAAGAGAAGTATAAGTTTTTCAATTTCCTGAAGAACTTAAAGGTCCCAGATGGATTTTCATCAAATATTTCTCAGTTTGCCAACCTTAAAGATCGCAAAATTTCAGGTTTAAAAAGTCATGATTGCCATGTCCTTCTATAATATTTACTCCAACTTGCAATACGTGGTATGCTTAGCAAATTTGTACGGGAACCACTTATTGAGTTGTCATTATTTTTCAATGTGCTTGGAGGAAAATATTTAAGAATTAATGAATTAGAGCAGATAGATGGCCAGATCCCTAAAACTGAGTGTAAGTTAGAAAAGGTGTTCCCCCTACATTTTTTGATGTCATGGAGCACTTGCCTATTCATTTAGCTAACGAAGATAAGATTGCTGGACCTATTCAATATCGATGGATGTACCCAATGCATCGATATATATATACTTTTTGAAGCCTTTTATTCGTAATAGGGCATGCGCAAAATGTTCTATTGCAGAGAGATATTTAGCAGCTGAATGTATGACCTTATGTTCAAGGTATTTGCACACAATAGAAACAAAGTTTAATCGCCTTGAACGGAATTATGATGGTGGTGTTATAGAATCTGATGGAGGTTTAGCAATTTTTTATCAATCTAGAAGAGCTTTAAGAGGTGGAAAAATAGACAAACTTGATTCAAATGATCTGGAGCAAGCACATTTTTATATTTTGAAAAACAACGATGAAGTTCAACCATTTCTTGAGTAAGTAACGACTTGTTATAACAATTTAATACCTTCTCTATTTTTTAATTTAAGCTGACATATTTTTACACTGCAATTTTTTGTAGAGAGTTTTCACAAACTCCAGTTGATACCTCTCAAGAATATTCTGATAGACAATTTATTAGTTGGTTAAAAGAAAAGATGAGTACCAACTAATAATAATATTTTTCAAACTATGTAATTATTATTTTCTAAACTATATATTTGATTTGATAGGTCGCAAGATTGCAAAAATATGATGATAGTAAGAAAATGGCAGATTTATTGTCATTGTCACGTGGTCCCACGCCATATGTGACAAGTTTTCGTGGCTATATTATCAATGAATATAGGTTTCATGTGCTGGACTATGATAAAGGTTTGAGAACTCAAAATTGCGGGGTGGTTGTAGTTGGAGAGACCGATGAAGAGAATAAAAATATCGATTTCTATGGTGAACTAACAGAGATTCTAGAATTACAATTTGTTCTGGGAAGAAGGGTGGTTTTATTTCGATGTACATTATTTGATGTGTATGACCAAGAAAAAGGGGTTAAAATAGATGAATATGGCTTTGTAAGTGTTAACCGCCAACGATTTCTGAAAACAAATGAGCCTTTTGTATTAGCCAACCAAGCATCGCAAGTTTTTTATGCTGAGGATCTTTCTAATAAAAGCTGGCATGTTGTACAAAAAGTACAACCTCGTGATTCTTTTGACATTCTGCAAAAGAATATTGATGATTTAGAGGAGTTAGATAATTCTTCACAACTAAAAAGGAAAAGAACTCAAGAAGGTTTGGAGTTCTATCACACCTGCTTTTAATTTGTTAACTTCTTTATTATAATAAAAATTCCATACTAAAACCCATTTGATTTGCAGGTTAAGTTGCAGGAAAGGAAAAAGGTTTCTAAAACTCCACCAGTGGATGTCTTCTTAGCTGATTGTATGTTCATATATAATGGATTGACTCACTAAACATTTGTTATCTTTAAGTTTTCATGTGTTATGTTTCTGTCAATTTTATTCATTACTGTTGTCTATTGCCATCTAACTTTTTAGTTTGTTTCCTACACCTTCACATGTTCATATATGATGAAATTGACATGAATATCTATTAATCAACTATTTTTATTTCTGTCAGGCTGACATGAATCCATCAAAATCTCAAAAGTTTTAAATGGTATCAACTTCGAAGACTTTTAAGCATGCATACATTCCATCTGGTGCCTTAGCAAGGGGACGAGGGAAAACTTCAAAGCTTTTGGTTCTGTAAGAGTAAACGCTGAACAAAGAAGCGTAAGAGTAAACGCTGAACAAAGAAGCGTAATAAGTATATTATTGTTTTAAGTTGTAATTTTTTGTTATTGTCATTGTACTTGATTTTATTGACTTAATTGTGACTTACAGGTCCATATGAATCTAAAAAGGCCAAACAAGTAAGAGCACACGCTGAACAGAGAACTTTGATGGGCAAAAATAAAAACTATAATGCAGTAGCTTTTAATCAGAATAAGCTAGCTCAGAAGGATAGTCTTGGGCCTCTTGGTTTTGATCCAATATTGGAATATGATGCTTCCTTTTCTGATGAAGAAGCGATGCAAGGCACTCAGAGAAGCAAAATAAGTATATTATTTTCCTAAGTTGTAACCTTTGTTGTTGTTGTTATTGTATTGATTTTTTACTTAATTGTGATTTATAGGTCCATATAAATATGAAAAGGCCAAAAAAGTAAGAGTAAGCGTTGAATAGAGAACTTCGATTAGCAAAAATAAAAACTATAATGTAGTAGCTTCTAATCAGAATAAGCTAGCTCAGAAGGATAGTCTTGGGCCTCTTAGTTTTGATCCAATATTGGAATGTGATGCTTCCTTCCCTGATGAAGAAGCGATGCAAGACACTCAGAAAAGCAAAATAAGTATATTATTTTCTTAAGTTGTAATCTTTGTTTTTGTTAGTGTATTGATTTTTTTTACTTAATTGTGATTTACAGGTCCATATGAATATGAAAAGGCCAAAAAAGTAAGAGTAAGCGTTGAACAGAGAACTTCGATTAGCAAAAATAAAAACTATAATGCAGTAGCTTCTAATCAGAATAAGCAAGCTCAGAAGGATAGTCTTTGGCCTCCTGATTTTGATCCTTCACTGATGAAGAAGCGACGCAAGGCACAAAAAGAAGCGAAATAAGTATATTATTGTCTTAAGTTGTAATTTTTTGTTGTTGTTATTGTACTGGATTTTTTATATGTTTGACTTAATTGATATTACAGGGCCACATGAATCTGAAAAGGCCAAAAAAGTGAGAGGAAAAAACTAGTGTAAAAAAGTTGCAGGACTCAAAGCCGGAGAAAAGTTGAGAGTCACTTTTTACCACAATCGAGTTGTTGGGAAGAATCATGCCTTATTTACGAGACACTTAGGTGTATTAGTTCGTGACCATAATATGTGCCCATTACGCATACACTCATAGATGAAAATCGAAGAATATAAGCTGGAGCACATGTGACAAGCTGTTACTGTAAGAATTTAAAGTATTACTATCTTGATTTGCCTTCTCTATTTTTTCTTCACAAATAAAAAGGAAATAATGTGAGCTTACATAATCCATTGAATGACTGGTTTTACCATATTGAAAGTTCATTTGAAATTTTACAGTCAAGACAGAGATAGGCACTTGTTACTGTTGTAGGCATGTATATATTGATAACTTTTCTCTTCTTTTTTTGTGACTAAAACCATGACTCTTCTTGAAGTTATTTTCATTTATATTACAAGTTTAATTCTAAGCGAATAAAATGCTTCACAAAACTGGAAACTAAAGAATTTAAGTGATTTGTGACTTTATACTAGTCTGTAATTCGTGAATGAATAATACAACACAAAGGTTACAAATATGTTAAGATTTTTGTACGAGCTTGCAGTTTCAGAATGTAGTGAACTTGTCGAAACTTTTTTTTATTTCTGAAAAAGAACTACTCCAGCGTAAATAATTAGAGGTGTCAATTCCAAATGTAAATAAAATTTATCATGTTTTAGCCCATGCAGGAGTAAAAGTAGATATTGTAAAAGACCAATATCTACTTAGTTCTTGGATCAGGTATTATCTTTGTGAAATTGTGTGCATTATTTATCATTATCAAATAGGGAGAAGTACTATATGTGAAGCACTTAAAAAGTTTGGCTGCTCCATATATCATGATTTGTTAATGCTTCAGCAAATGACTAAGTAACACTATGCTTTTACTTTTCCTTTATTCTATCCTACAACATACTGGGTACTAGTTTTATATTTGTGCTTCTCGCCATAATTTTGATACACAGATATGTATTCGAACCATGTTTGTTAGTCAACAGCTAAAGAAGTGCCTGTGCTTTTTTGTCGAGCTAATCTTCGAGAAATGTCACAATCTTTAATTTATCAGTACCTTATTCTTATTCATGTTACTGTATTGGGTTCACTATGAAGAGGTGTATTGGTTATTATATTTTAAGTTAGTCTAATAATGTAGTGGTGTCAAAAAAAAATTTGCACTATATTTGGAGATTTTGATGTAATAGTTGCCAAGTCCTAGAATAAAGTACTTTCAGAACATTTTAGATAAACTCAACCCTGTCACTTTCTTAGATTCTTTAGATGCACTTATAACTGATTTACTATTTGTTCCTTATTTTAATCTTGGCATACACTTATTCTTCTGTTATTAATATTCACTCATGCATATTTGCTGCTTCAAATTTGGCTGACCTCTCATTTAGACTGTTGCAGGTATATTTGTGCATAAGTATCCTTCTTTTGCCTGTCAAATAGAACCAAATATCAACTGATGCTCGCTTCACTTTTTTCTTTAAGGAATATGCCCTCTTTATATATTAGAACTCGTATAACCATTATGAGCTTTATAATCTCCTGTGATACACATAGTTGGTTAAAATTTTATTTTTCTAATTTATTTGAAATTCTTTTGAGTTTCATTATTAATGATACTTGTGAAATAATATAGGACAAATTTTATAGTGATAACATAAATGATCAACGAGATCATGTCTTGAAATATATGAGAAAGTTATGGAACAATTGGAGAGGATTGATGCACAAGAACATAAAGTCTAAGCCATTCCGCGTTGCTTTAAGAGATGTGCCAGAGGGGGTAGACAAGAGTGATTGGGAATGGCTGGTCAAAGAGCATTTTTTAACTGAAAAATTTAAGGTAAGGTTTCATAACTATTTATTAATATCTTCTTATATTAAGTGGCTAATCATAATTTTGGTGGCGTATTGTCAATTTAGGAAACAAGTATAACAAACTCGATCAATAGATCTAAGTTGACAATGCCTCATCGTATGGATAGTAAGCCTATTCGAGAGATCATGTATGAATTTGTGAGTAAATATTGCAATTTTATTGAGAAACTTTATCTTTGTTAAAAAAATTCTGTGACTTTTTAGTTAAATGTGAAGGGAGGCAAAGATGGAAACCCCCCAGATACGAAAACTATCTTTTTTGAGACTCGTAAGAAGGACGACAAGCTTGTCGAACCTGAAACCAATGAAAAATATGTAAGTTTATTGTCAAATTTTATTTTAAATCATTTTATTTTCTATGTTGTATTATTTCCAATAGTATTGTAATTTATAGGCCAAAATCTAAGAACTGGTGCAATCTGAATCGTCTCTTACAAATATTGAGGTCGTAGAAAGGTGCTTCGGACCTCAACGCAAGAGTCATGTAGTTGGATTTGGTGGTGGAATTACTGCTAAGGAGTTAAAAGGTGGTAACTCCTCCAAGGATGCATTGTTGGAAAAGTTGAGTGCTAAAAAAGAAAATGAATCACTAAAAGGGCGCATAGAAGGGTTAGAGAGTAAATACGATGTTCTAGAGAGTAAATATGCACAACTTGCAAGTGCAGTGTTTAACCAAGCTTCATCCTCATCTTCAAGTGAACAATAGATTGAAGCATTTAACAGGTTAGTAGATTAAAAATCCTATTAATCACCTTTCAAAAAATACTTTATCTAAAACTTAAAAATAATACAATATTACATTAATCACCTTTTCTTGTACTTTTCCTTGCCTGTGAAAAAGATAGAGCTCAAACAAAAAAAAAACTCGGTAGAGGGGCATTTAATACTGAGTTGATTTTAATTCCATTGTTGTATGTATTACTTGGAACCTTCCTCAATGGAGGTTTTTGATAGTGATCTATAGATATAGAGGAAGATGATTTCTGGGAATGCTGTCTATGATTCACCCTTAGTTTCTTTTATCAAGAACCAATATATTCACACTGAATAGTTTATAAATGTACTTGAGAGCTGAGATAATCAGTACCGATTAGAATGATGAGAATATTCTACCACTCTTGTGCTGATATTTTTTGCACTATGTAAAAATATTTTTGCAAATCCTGCTAACTTATTTAACTACAACCCCAAATGGATAAGCTGCCAGCAGTTTGATCCCATGTTACGCCTAATTGTCAAGCATTTGATTTTTTCTGAACTATTGTCTTGAGAATTTTAATATTCCATTTATGCATAAGTAAAAGAAGATAAGTCTATCGTTATCTATTTGAGAAGAAACAATTTTGAAAAATAAAATTGCAAGTGCAATGAAAATGAGTTTTATGTCTCTATACCATTTATTTTTTAATTATGTTTCATCTCCTTCCTTCGATTGCCTGGCATGAGATAGAGTTAGCAAATAACACTAGTATTTCAATTTTCAATAGCTTTAATGGTGACTTTGTTCTTAACAAATGTAACATCTGGTTTTTAACAGTAGTTGAAGGTGACTTTCCCCAAGTTAGCTATTTTATCTTACCAGTGCTAGTTCATATTATGTAGAAGAAGGAATATAATCAGTTGAATTTACTTAGAGTAATATATTTTTACGCTACAGCTTCTTTCAAAGAATGATACCAAATAGCATTCTTTGAAACCAAATAGCATACAGATAGTTTTGGGTTGATATTTTCTAGACTCCAGGTAATGCGAAGAGCTTATAATTATCAAAAGTAAATTCTCTTTCACATAATTAATTGGAAAATTGATCTGTTATACTGTGTGCTTCTACACATCTGGAATGTTCTAGAAGATTCATATCGATGTGTGCTAGATGTCATTAATATTATACTCTATGATGAAATTGTTACAATGCTCATGTGAATTTCTTTCCATTACATTAATGTTTATGAATTTAAATAAAAATTTAGTCATCAAAACAAGTAAATTTATAAGCAAGAATGAAGTTCCATATCCAATATCATCTAGAGTGGTCATAATCTAGCTTAATGTACAGAGAATTGATGAAATAATATACCTCAAAGCAGAACCAAAAGGTGAGTTGTAAAGGGCTGTTTGGTATATGAACAATCATGGGTTCTTCATAGAGACTTGATTTGAAGTCATAATCGACTCTTTCTCAAAAGTTTCTATATGCATTTTGTATCTCAATCGCTTTTCCTCCTTATGTGTAGAATCGCATAAAGCTCTATATAGAATGTGCTTGCCAGAATAAGATAATTTGCTATGCAGGTTTTAGTATGACTAGGATGTGTGATTTAGAACTCCATCAGTCTTTTGATCATTGTCCGTGAACGTAGGAAATATAATGCGATATTTTTCGGCTACAATATTGCCTACTATTATGTCAACTGATAATTGAATTATTTCACTAGGGCGATCAGTGTAGTCTTTGATGAATCTAGTCTTCTTCTTTAATTTTTTATTCTTTGTTACAAACTGACATAAACTTTTTACTTCAACAGATCAAAAGCTTGGAAGTCTGAAGAACCTATTGTTGAAGAAAGCGCACATCAATCATAAGAACAAGAGAATTTTGTTATGTTAGGGATGGTTTGAAGGCATTGTCTTATGTACATATGCTGCAATTTTATTTTTTCTCTTTTTAGAAATTGTTAAAAATGATGTCATACTATTTGGATTGCTTTCTGGTAATGTGATGATGTTATACTATTTGAATTTCTTTCTGGTAATGTGATGCTTAGATCTTTGTATTAACAGAATATCAATCATTTGGTTCATTTTCAAATATGTCTGGTCTGTGTATGAAAGCATATGTACTATTAGTGAAATATATATTTTTGTCATTGTATATATAAAAATTTTCCAGTAGCGAAGGGAATGTGGTCATAGTAACTATTGAATAACAGGTTTCTCAAATATTTTATTAGGCATTAGCGATTAAATGTAATTATAAAATTAACGAAGGGACTTTCGGTCGCTAAAAGCACTTGTAAGGACCAAATTAGTTGTTGGCATTGAACACTTTTAACGACTGGATAACACAATAACGAGGGATAAATCCTGTCGCTAAAAATGATATATAACGACCGGAAATCATGCCGTCGCTAAAGGGTCTTTAATGACCGGATTGAAAATCGGTCGTTAATTTTTAACGTCGGAACTTTTAACGACCGGTGACGACCGAATTTTTATCGGTCGTTATTGACTTATATCGACCGGATCTGGACTTTTAACGACCAAATTTCCCCTCGCTAAGGCCTATTTTCTTGTAGTGGTAGAAGCCCAAAAAATTAAGATGGGATCACATTCGAGGGCCGAGGACCAAGTGTGGATGTCAAAAAGTGCGGAAAAAAAAGATTACTCTGAGAAAAATGCATTATCGCGCCGCGGGGAACAAGGTGCAAATGCAAAATTCCTGCAGAGTGGAAAAAAGTCTGCTCTCTGAACTTTCCCATTGGCGTGGTTCATGGGGCGTCGCATGGCCATGTAATTTTCTTAGAGTAATTTTTCACTTCGGCTTGAAGAGGGTAGTTCTGTCCTGACCCGCTTCTACATGGTATAAATACACCAAAAATACGTTTGTGAAAGGACTTTTGACCTAGGGGCTTTTGGAGATGATTGGAGGATTCAAGACACAAGGTTTCATCTTCCTTCTACCAATTCAACACGCGAGTTTGGATTGTAACATTGGATTAATATTTTCTTATTCTTTAACTCTATTTGTGATGATTTTCTCCATATCTATGGAGTACTTCACCTAAGGGTTTGACATGATTTGGTGACTTGGTTGTTGTTTATGGATTTAACTACTATTTAATTGCTAGAATTTATTGGAGGGGCTGTAATATTAGTTGTGATTTTATTCTTTGTAGTGTTTAATCGAAATAGGAATATCTTATGAATATTATTGCGGCGTATATGATGGGTTTTCAATGTTTTTGCCTTATGTTTTGATGATCTAACAAACTTGCTATCAAGAATCAGATAAGGAACCTGACACACTTGGTACAAATGGCTAATGAATGAATTCCATCCAGAACTCCAGCTAATGTGAACTGCTGCAAGTGTAGAAAATAGTGAAACAAGGCAAGGACCTGATCCTTGTGTTTTCCTGATAGCAGTATGAAAGTCAACTGCGCACAGCTGGAAAGTGACTGCCACAGAAACAATGCACACAATGCAGTAGTTTTGTAGTCAGTTGTCCTTTGACCAACCAAGTGCTTACATCATTCAAGTGATGTCATCAAAGGTGTATTAACAAGAGCATTATAAAAAAGTATCACTTGAACACTTGAGAATTCACTTCAAGCATTCAGGCCTTCTGATACAGTGAACTTAATTCTCAAGAGCCTGAGGAACAAAGTTAAACGATACTACGGACCAGTTCCTAAATCCAGTATTTTGTTGTCCTTAGTAGAGTTGTATCTTTGTAATTGTTCTAATCTTAATTCATAAATTGCTTAACTAGAAGCGTTACTTAGGAACCCCTTTGTAAAACCATAAACCTTTTGTGTTTGTGTCATGATTAGAGCTAGTCATGAGTTGAAGTATTAGTAATAGGTGTATTGCAAAGTGACTTGTAATATGTGTATTACGAGTTAGTGAGGGATTAAGAGTTTAATTCCTAGATTGCATAGGTTGTAATCTAAAAGTTGCTCATAGTGAAGTTAAAATCTTATAAGTGTAGGTCGTAGTTTTTTATCCCCTTGAGCAGGGATTTTTCCACGTAAAACTCCATGTCTTATTTACTTACTGTTTTATTAGTATTCTCAGTGAAAACTCATAGAGGAACTTGTACTCTATAATTCGGTGGACTTATATAAACTATCAATTTGTATCAGAACGGGTTCCTCCTATCAGGCTAATACCTAGGAAGGATCCTATGGCTGCTCCACCAAATTTTGAAGAAGGTCAATCTATGTACAGACCACCCAGGTTCAATGGGCAATAATATGGGTGGTGGAGTACAAGAATGCATGATTTTATCCTAGCTGAAGATTCTAAGTTGTGGAATGTCATATGTGATGGTCCTTACATCCCAACAAAGGCAGTTGGAGACCTTCCATTAACAATGCCAAAGACTAGAAAAGAGTACACTGACGCAGACAGAAAAGCTATGGAGAAAAATTTTCGTGCCAAGAAATTTTGGTGTGTGGAATAGGACCTGATGAATACAATAGAATCTCTGCTTGTGAAACTGCCAAGGAGATATAAGAAGCTTTGCAAACAGCACATGAGGGGAACCACTGAAGTAAAGCAATCTTAGATTGATATGCTCACTACCAAGTATGGACTCTTTATGATAAAGGACGATGAATCTATTCAAGATATACACACAAGATTCACCTCTATCATAAATGAGTTACACTCACTTGGTGAAATCATTCCCAGGAACAAGCTAGTGAGGAAAATTCTTAGTATCTTGCCCAGTTCTTGGAAAATCAAGGTGAATGCCATTATTGAAGTAAAGGACATGCAGGAGCTGACCATAGACGAGCTGGTTGGAAAGCTGAAGACCTATGAGATGAAGAGGAAGATAGACAATGAAAGAAGAGAACCAAAGAAAAAAAAGAACCCGGTACTCAAAGTTGAAAGCAATGACTCGAGTGAGGAGGACAGTGACATGGCTGACTTAACCAAAAGGTTTCAAAAGATGGTTAGAAGAAATGGAGGAATACGGAAAAGGGGCAACTTCAGCAAACCAAAGAACTATGATCTCTGCCACAAGTGTGGAAAGCCAGGGCACTTCATCAATGATTGTCCTCTCCTGAAGCAAGAACATTCCAAGTATAACCCTGAGAAAGTAGCCAAGAGAAACCCGGTTCCTGACAAGCACTTCAAAAGGAAGAGATCTGCTGGCAATGTGGTGAAGCAAGCTCTTGCAACATGGGGAGACTCCTATAGTAAGTCTGAAGATGAAACTGATGCAGGTGACAGCTCCATGATGGAAGTTTAAAGTGAGGAAAATGAATATGATTCAATATCTGCTTTGATGGCCCAATCTGATGATGATGAAGGCGATGACATTAGTGAGGTAAATTTCAGGGATGTTTAGAGAAATCTGAAATCCTACTCTCCTAAGAAACTCATGTCTTTAGCTAGTGTACTGATTGATGCCTATCATAGTCTTGTAGAGGATAAAGATGCCTTGACCTTAGAGCTAGGAGAAGCTGAACAAACTAGAGATGATCTGGTAGTGTGTGTAGTTGATCTGAAGGGAAAACATTTGTGAGTTTTAGAAAGAAAAACTTGTTTTAACCGAAAAAATTGCCAACATAGAACATGAAAGAGATGACTTAGTGGTGGTAGTTGTTGACTATAAGGAAACCGTTGAGAACTTCAGTAAAGAAAAAGAGGCCTTAATGAAGAGAGTGACTGAGATTGAGGAAGAAAGAGATGATATCTTGGTAGTGATTGCAGACCTAAGGGAAACAATAGAGGGACTAGGGACTAAGTCTAAATATGGATATTCTGGAAAAGGAAAAGAGGTAGCCAGTGCGGCACACATTAGTCTTGAAAACGAGTTGAAGGTTGTGAGAACTAGCCTGTGTGCTGAAACTGAGAAAAACAAACATCTCCAAACTGAACTGGAAAGAGTAAAAAATGATCTTGAAAAGTCCCTAAAGTGGACCTGGTCCTCAGAAGCTATCACTTCCATATATGTTAATAATGGTAGAAATTGGTAGGGAATAGGGTTCCAAAGAGAGAAAACCCCTTACAACCCCCATAGCAAGTATGTTACTGTACCAGATACCTAGCTGTGTACCCACTGTGGGAACAATGAGTATTTCAAGGAAAATTGCTAAGCTAGGGTCTAGTCTATTCAGAAAAACAAAGTGTTTGCTGAAAATGTACTCTAAAAAGGGACCAGGTGCCACCTACAAAAAATGCATATTACCTGCATGGACTCAGAGAGCTCTTATTCATCCTCTTGCCTACTACAAGGGACCCAAACTTGTTTGGGTTTCTAAAACTAACTCTTGATTTCCTTGTGCAAGGAACAGTGAAAGGAAGCAGTCAGCAATGGTTCATGGATAGTGGATGTTTAAAGCATATAACTGGGAACACCATGGACTTCCTTTCACTAAAATCCCTGCAAAGAGGGAGTGCATCCTTTGGCAATAGGAAAAAGGGGTACATTCTTGGAGTTGGAAAAGTCGGGAAATCATTCACACTCTATTGAGAATGTGTACTATGTTAATGATCTTAAGTACAGTCTCTTGAGTGTCTCTCAGATCTGTGATAAAGTAAATAAGGTGAAGTTCTTGTCCAAGATATGTACAGTTACTAATCTGGTAACTGGTGTAGTGGTACTTGTGGCCAAGAGATACAAGAACATTTATGTTGCTGATTTTGAGTCTATAAAAAGTGGTTATCTGAGCTGTCTGAAAGTTGTTGATGATGATGCTGAACTCTGGCACAAAAGATTAGGGCACACAAGCTTCTGTCTTCTGAATAAACTAATTCAAAAAGACTTGGTCCATGGTCTACCCATGTCAAACTTCAAAGTACAGAAAGTGTGTGATGCTTGTGCTAGAAGAAAGCATGTGAAGTCCTCTTTTAAGCCTAAAAAGGATGTCAGCACCTCAAAGCCACTCGATTTTTTTCATATGGATCTGTGTAACCCCATGAGAGTGAAAAGCAAGGGAGGATAAATATACATCTTTGTGATAGTGGACGACTACTCCAAATTCACATGGACTCTATTTCATAGAACAAAAGATGAAATCTTTGAGGTATTTGTGGCTTTTGTGAAGAAATTCCCGGTGAAGATGGAATCTAGAGTAGCATGTATCAGATCAGATCATGGAACAGAATTTGACAATGCCAAATTTGATGAGTTCTGTAATGAAAATTGCATTACCCACAACTTCTCAGCCTCAAGAACTCCCCAGCAAAATGGAGTTGTGGAAAGGAATAATAGAACTCTTGAAGAAATGGCAAGAACAATGCTGATCGACAGTGGGATTGCAACGAACTTCTGGGTTGAAGCTGTCAACACTCCCTGCTACTTGGTGAACAAGTGCATGATCAGATCTCTCCTGAACAAAACCCCCTATGAGTTGCTGAATGAAAGGAAACTCAAGCCAACTCACCTAAAAACATTTGGGTGCAATGCTATATTCTCAACAATGGAAAGGATCAGCTTGGTAAGTTTGATGCCAAGAGTGATGAAGGAATCTTTCTGGGGTACCTTCTCAAAGCAAAGTTGACAAGATATACAACAAGCGGACTCAATGTGTTGAGGAAAGTATTCATGTAATCTTTGAGGAGTCCTATCCCTCAGGTGAGAAAAGTACCAAGGATGATCAAGATGGAGAGACTTTACTATCGCGCCCCTTTTTCCTTCGCGGAGATGGGAACGGCTCGTTTCCTTTTGGGAATTGGGTATTTGAACAGTCGCCACCTAACGGATTAAGGTGCGTTAGGGCACCTAGAGCAATTAACTCATATAACCAGTTTGCATTACCAGAGATTAGGGCAAGGGCTTGAAATAACCTTGAGGGAAAGGTGTTAGGCACCCCTCGTAGTCCACAACGGTGGGTCCCGACCGAACTTAGTTATGTGAAGTAAGCGGTCTAAGCACACATTTACAAATAAAGGTAGTTTATGTAGTCTAAACGTACATATATAATAAAGAATGTTTAGATGGTCTAAGCATACGTAAATTAAGGAAGTTTGAACAGTCCAAGTATACATATATAAACTAAGAAAGTTTAGGTAGTGTAAGCACACATATGTGAATTGGGGAAGAGAAGTCCTAAGTTGATTAGCCTATTAGATCAATTTTTGCAATGCCCGGTAATCCTCCTCAACTAGAGGGGCTACATGTGATATTAGCGCACAGGTCATCATATTCTTTTACTACCCGTTACCCTCCCCTTAGTGGTTATATAAGCAAGTTTAATTAACGAAGTCTAAGCGCGCTTTACCCGTCCTTTCCTTGTGGTCCCGGAGGCGTTTAGTACCTCTATACTTAGGCAGTTCTAGACACTCCTAAGGTATTTAAAAGCTAAAATGTAAGTGACAACAAAGAACACATAGGACTGTCAAATATGGAAGCAATTAGGGGCTCATGTTTGCCTCCACACATAAATAGATACGTAGCACATCTCAAACAACTAATTTTAAATAAATTCAGAAGGCCCTAGAACATGATATCTAGATGAACATCAAATGCAGAATATGCAGCATTTGTTTTAAGGAGAAGTGGCAGAATCCTAATCAGCTTGCCTACTGGTTTTATAGCCTGTTAAACCTGGGCAATTTTACAAATAAGCAAAGTATACCTCTACAGTTTTTAGACCATTAATTACCTAAGGCTTGCCTAGGTATAGGCTGTGTGCTCATAATTCTGAAAACAACTTGAAGTTATCCAATCCTATATGCATGCTGATCTAGGTGATTAATGTTACAAAAGGCTGATTTCATGCATGTTTACACTAGGATATGATATCTATGTGTTGGACTATTTTTAAACCTTTTATAGATAGTTATTTATTCAAAATGACATAGACATGGTTTAGATCCAATGCAAACAAAGTCCTAAATCAGGATTTCTAATACACATAGAGATGATCAATTTTATCAAACAGAATTACAGAAGCAGTTTAATGACATGATTTCCAGGTGATAATAACTTATGCAGAGTCAGAGAAAGAAGTAATAAACTTATAACATGCTTCTAATATGCAAAATATAAACGTGAGTGTCCTAAGGCAGGTTTTCTAATGCAAATATTATAGACTTATGACATGTTTTGATGCAAGTAACATAACATATGGGCCTAAAGCATGATTTCTATCGTAACATAAACTCAAAGCACGATTTCTGTTGCAAATATACATATAAACTAAGAGCATGATTTCTACTATGCATCAACCTAAAGCATGATATCTACCTAGTTTCCCACAAACATTATATAGGAACCTCCCCTTTTACTAATCACCCCGACATCTGTTTACAAATAATATTATTATAGACCAGGATCAAATGAATTACATAAGTAAATGAAACTATACTATAGGGAGCCTAAATCAGGCCCAAAGTAAACCTGGGAATGCCAGGCCTTCAATAGAGTCTCAGAATCCAAAGATCTCACAACCAATAGTGTATTCCTTGGTGTGTCAGAGTTTCCTAAGGACCTCAAGGATCCCGGGCAATGCTCACACCCAGACCATTTCTCAAATGGGGATTGGTTATGTGCAGTGTGGAAGGGCCAGCCCTGATATGCCAGAGTTCAGAGAGATCTCAAGGATCCCTAAGCAGTACACATACCAGAGGGACAAAACTTAATAATCTAGGAATATGGTGAGAGTGCTTGACATAGTGTTGAAAGACTTAGTGAAACAGTTTAGAAGTGAAAAAATTCTGAAATAGTTTTTAAAGATACTAGGAGTGACCAGTTTTGAGAAGAATGCTAGGAGTAGGAGTAGCAGTTTGAAATCATTGAGGAAAACATACTTAGCAAACAACCTAATTAATCACAGAATACCCAGATTCACTTAACAAGCAGACTTACAAACACGGGGTGATGGGGATTGGGAAGCATATAGGATTGAGACCACATAAAGAGGGAAACTAATACAACAAATGTACAGAACAACTAGGAGTCTACTGAACAAGTTAGTCATGGTGATAGACAGTTAAGACATAGAGAAAGAATGTAACAGAATCATGTTGAAAACGAAGATGTGTTGAACAGAATTAGACACAATCAGGATCAATTGAATGCACTAGAAAATTAAATAACTAACATAGTCAGACCAATTAAAGGTAGGGGTAAGGGAAATAAGTAAACATGCGGGACAATTATCAAAGAACAAAAATGAAGTTAGATATGCTAATTACATATAAGGCAGAATTTAAACATGCTTAATAACAACAAACAGAGAAATAAATTGAATAGGTGTATCGACGTGGAACACATAGAGTTGAGTTCCAAAATCTAACTAG